TTAATTCCAGTTCATTAATATGCAGTGTTATATTAGTTTCAGGTGCATCTCTGAATTTTCTTTATGAAACAGCATCTGTACACCCACCATTGTCTGTAACACCGAAATTGAGAAAGCTCTGAAAACAGAGCCTTCCCACCCCCCGCCGACATTTGTAGCAAAGCCATTTGGCAGCAAAACCTGACTTATTAGTAAATATTCACAGAGTTTGCTAATAGACACATTAACTGATGTATGTGCTATTGGGGTGCTTGCTAATGGGGTGCCATCCTAGACCTGCTGAAAGCGTTGCTGAATATATGGTGTCGCACCATATTACCTCCCTAAAATCCGAAGAAAGGTGATTTCCAGGGGCTACAATGGGTTTTAGACAAGAGACAGTAGACACATTAGAGATTAGAGGTAGGCACGTAGGTAGGTAGAGAGAGAGAGATGATAGACAAAAGAAAGAGAGAAAAATACAAAAAAACCCATCCCAAACAATGCCCATAATCTCTCCGCCCAGGTAAACCACTGATGTTAGCATAATAAACAAGAGTAATGATACACACGTAGGGTAAGAAAAGGCAAATAGTGGAGAAAGATACACACTGAAAGACTCAGAGTGTAAGACTCTCCTCACGTAGGCTCCACACCCCGCGGTAACCTTGGGTGACGGGTTCTGGAGGGAAGCTGCAATTTCAACCACCACCTCTCCAGGCAACCCCCCAAGGGCTAGCAAGCCCCTTTGAAGGGCTCACAAGAACACCGCCCGGCTCCACTGTCAAAACACAGTTGAGAAGGGCCAGCTCTCAGGTCAGAACACTTGGATTTTAGCCCCTGCTCTGTCCTCAACTCTTGGGACCTTGGACAAGTCCCTATCGTCCAATGGGACGCAGGATGTTTGTCGGCAAGCAAGGGCGGGGTTGGCGCGGACTTCCAGCAGTCTCTGACCCCAGGCGATAATGTAAAGGGGCAAAGGGCTTCCTCATCAAACGTCCCAGCTGGTGACAAGGCGCCAACATCATGATCCAAGGGTCACTGAGCTTTGTCCCTGTTTACAGGAACTTTGGCTGTGGGTAAGTGCCAGCTGCTTCCTGCTGTGACCAGAGCAGACCTCCTCCCGGGTAGTCTCCGTGACTGCCTGCCCATCCAGCTCTGGAGAGAAAGGGCCACTCACCAGTCGATGCCTTTGTGATAGTTGTGGCCATTAAAAAACTGGATCTCCTCAAAGGTTTCTGAGCTGGGGTAGTTGCTGCTGAGGTCTGGGTGCATGCCCAGGAACAGGTAGAGGGCTGTGGTGCCTGCAGGGATAGAAGGCAGCTGAGACCAGGGCCCAGCCCCAAACACAAGGAAGGAGCCTGGGATCCTAGGTTCTGAATCCAGCTCTCCGTGCCTCACTGGGAGATCCCGGGAAAGTCCCTTTCCTTCTCTGGGGCTTAGTTTCTTCATCTATATGATCAAAGGATTTTATGAAACCCCGGATGGCAAATACAAGGCATGCATGTGGGTATCCCAACTCCTGCATCCACTGTAGACATCAGTAATCCATCACGGCCTTCTAAACACTAAACAGGAACTTGGCCTCAGAATCCTTCCAACCCCTGTACTCCAGCAGCCATGCCCAATCCATTAGTGTCTTCCCATAATCCCAGAACTAGATGGTTTCCAGTTCTGGGCTCTATCCTCTGACACTCGGGAGGAGCTCAGAGTAAAGGGAGCTCCAGACCCTGCAATGTGTTGATGTGAAGAAGTTCTTGAAGGGCTAAGAAATTTGGCTCAAATGCCGTTTCTTCTGGGTGCCCTTCCCTCACTCATACTCTCTTGCCCACTTGACTGTAGAGGACCTACTCCCTCCTTCAGAGAGCTCATTCCTTTCCTGTGTGTGAGTCTATATGGTTTATACGCTAGGAGGAGACATCTTGAAAGAGAAGGAGACTATAGGGTTTCGTTTAGTTAAGAGTAGAAGCTTCGGGGGTCATAGAGGTAAGGATTCAAGACTTGAATCTGTCATTTCCTAACTGAATGTGTCAGGGGAGGGGGGGGTCACTTAGCTTCCCTGAGTCTCAGGTGTTTTGATCTATAACATGGGAGGGCCTATTCATGCCGCAGAGTGTGTTTGTTGGCAAAGACTTAGCAACCATACAGTGCTTCTCCGTCTTGCGCCTCTGGCAGACATGACTAATTGATTCCAGTCCTCTTTGTACTGAACCAGTTTTTCCTGCCATCGCTCAAATTTGCAGAACGGCTGATCTGGGCTTCTCTGCCTAGACTCAGAGACTCCGAGGAAGGTGCAGAGAGAGCTCCCTGAGGCGGTGGTTCAGGACAGGTAGGAAAATTCTACGCCCATCCTCCACCCCCTCCCCACTTCCATACTGACAGGCAGTTCGTGTTCACCCCAACTTCACTCCCACTTCCTGGGAGAGAGGGGGAAGATGGCTTGGGAGTGGACTCAGGGCACGGCGGTCCCCCAAATTCTGTGGCTGAGATAGCAGGCAGTGGGGGACACCGGCCAAGAGGAGAGAAACTTGCCTGTTTTCTGGGGGCCAATGATGAGGAGCTTTGGGAAGCGGTCACATGTCTTCTCCTTGGACCAGATGTCTTTGTGGCGTTTATCCTCACAGGGGTCCTAAAACAACAGTGGAGGGAATGTTAGGGGGGCCCCAAACCCAATGAATGGACTCTCCTTGCACATGGATATGTGGCTGTTACAGTGCTGCCAGGTAGAGTAACTACGCGTGTCCTTGTCACATCCCCAGCTCAGGACACTGAGCTGCGAGCAGGCAGGGACCACTTCTGGTTAGCCCTAGTTCAGCCCAGTGCAGGGCACGTAGCAGGAGCTCATGAGCACTTATTGAATTTAACTGGATGAGCTGTGTCTGAACCAGGGGTCAGCAAACCTTTTCTACAGAGTTTAGTAAATCTATTGGTAAGTGGTTAGTAACTATTTTAACCTTGAGTACTATCTGGTCTCTGTCACAACTACTCAATTCTGTTGCTGCAGCATGAAAGCAGCCATAGGCAGTACTTACGAGAATGGGTGTAGATGGATTTCAATAAAACTTTATTTACAAAAACAGACTTCAGGCCAGATTTGGCCCATGAGTCATGGTTTGTTGACCTCTGGTCTGAACCATGAGACCGCCATCAATTCCAGCTTAGCTTCTGTGTCTGGATTTTCACAACCCCCAGCGGCCTACGTCCCCAAGAGGTGCCCCCCCAAAACCTTCCCATCAGTCCCCTTTCCTGTGGTACAGAGCCTATGAGCATGAGAAGGGGCATAAAGGACTATCTAAGAGTCTAAGCAGGACACGGGGCACCTGCTTGGCTCATTTGATAGAGCAGGTGACTCTTGATCTCAGGGTTTTGAGTTCAAGCCCCATACTGGGTGTGGAGATTACTTAAAAGTAAAATGTTAAAAAAAAAAAGGCTAACTAGGTCAGGCAGTTGCTTTGACCCCCACTTGATCTACACTGTGTTCCTTTACAGTTTTGTAACGCTTTTTCAGAAGGTGTGCATGAGTGTGCATGCACGTGGGTCTGTGTGCGAGATGTGTACACGCGTGTGCGTGAGAGCAAGCAAGCGTGCCCGTGCTGGTGAGCAAGTGTGCGCCTGAGTTGGCACTTGAGAGAGAGTATGAGGGTGTGGGGGCCAAGCCCGTGTCTGGAGTGCGTGCCTGTGAGTGGCGGGCATTCCGTCTCTGCGACAGGACACCTGGGCCACCACCCCGCCCACCTGCCAGAGCGGGTCCTTCTCCTCGGAGAAGATCTGGAAGTACTTCTGTGCCAGCTGCACGGGGGGCAGCGTCTGCAGCCGGAGGTTGGTCCAGGAGTGCAGGAAGCGCACCAGGTGCTTGAAGGTGTACAGGCCCAGGCGGTCATTCCCATAGTTGGACAGGTGCGTCATGAAAATGCTGATCTGCTCCAGGGGAGGGGAGGCGGGAGGCGGGGCTGGTCAGCACCTGAGGCACCTCCACCCCACTTCTGACTCTTCCCGTCTTGCTGCGGCTCGCAGACCGAAGCTGCGACCAGCCCGAGGTGTACTGGCGCCATTAAGAAACTCGCGGTGTGACCTTGGCTGAGGCACAACCAGGTGAATCCAGGTCTGACTGACCACCAACTTCTATAACCCTGAAACGGGAAGCTGACCTACTGCGCAGTCACTGGGTGTTCTTTTATATTTTTTTGTGGAGTGTTCATGGAAAACAAGGAGTACTCGGTTACCCCGTAAAGCCGAATACAACTACCACTTAACATCTACTGAACAGTATTAAAGCACGGATGGTTATTTCCATTTTATAGGTAAGGAAAGAGAGGGCCAGAAAGTTCAGGTGAACAGTTCAAAATATATGTATCAATTTTACATATGTATTTTACATGTGTATTACACACATA